CATTTAAAATATGTATATATGTGTATATGTATATATATATATTCTTTCCTGATTTACTGTGGATGGCATACTTGCAGTATTTAATTTTGAAACCATGATTCAGGCCTTGAGGATGGAGTCATTTTTCTGATAATCAATAGACAAAAGCCTCTTCATCTGTTTCATTTCCATCCAGGCAAAGTTAAAAAAAGCCTCTTCATCTGTTTCATTTCCATTTCCAAAGTTAGAGCAAGTCACATGAGCATGGCTGACAAAGTTGATTCTGGATTCATTTAGCGCCAACCCTCGCCCATTTTTTTCTTTTTCCTGTCTTTACCATTTATCTTTCATCCTTTAATCCAGTGCCAAACTTAAGGCCTGCGGGCAAAAATAGGCCCGCTTGGGGTTTTAATCCGGCCTGCTTGTTGAATTTTGAAAATAAAAAAATACACAAACACTTTATGTTCAGGGAATGTTTTGTAAAATTCTATTTCATTAAATATGAAGATTTAACTACTGCACTTTTTTGCTTTGAAAACACAGGAGAAAAAGACAGACTTCACATCTAATTAGGTTGACCCAACCCCACTTTAATCGGTCCATCGTAATCAAGTTTTTATTTTGCCGAACACTGTCAAGTGATAATTGGTGTACTTGTACAAACAAAAGAATATTTAAAAACTGTGACCTCTGTCCTGCAGTGATAACTCATTTATTTACTCACAGACTGTAGTCTGACAAGGAAATGTCCCTAATGGCATTGTCTGATTCGCAAACACATCCGCTCTTTGTCCTGTTGATTTTTCTAAGATATTGAAAGCTCTCTGACACCAGCCTTCTCATCCCACGTTACCGTTTTTGAATCCATGTTCTCAGTTTTGACCGGCTATATTAAAAGTGGCTCAGCAGGCCTCTCTGGTTAATTAGAGCACAGCAGCGACAGCAGCAGCCTCACGCTGACGAATAGTACACTGCTGAGTTTCTCACAGGCCGGGATTAATGGCTCCTCCTGACTTGGATAGTGAGCGTGCATGTGTGTGTAAAAGGGTGTGTGTACTGTGTGAGTGTGCAAGTGGTGAGTATCCTGGTAGTTTTTTGTATGTGTAAAGAGTGTTCATCATACATACAAGGAGGTGTTAATGACCAGAAAAACGATTTCTATTGTCTATGTAAATATTTGTGCAAGTCCTGCTATAGTTTCTTCGCGTCATAACGTGTCAGTATTTCGTGCCTTCCAAGAATTTCACATGTGCTAGGGAAGTGTTTTATTTACGGTTCTAAATAAAATGTCTCTCCCTTCGGAAGAGGGAAAGATATAAGGACGGCATTAAAGTCTGTGCCTCTCAGGCGGACGGTCGGGTATTTAAACCAGACTTGACTGTGAGTTGAGTGTTTGCGGAAGACGGCAGATAAAAGCCTGGCACAGCTTCACACAACAGGTGTGTTGTGGTCTGTGGGGAATCTGAAGTGCTGGGAGCTGCAAGAGATGGATTAAACACAGAAACACACATTGATGGCAAGGCATCATGCAAGTAGGTGCATACATGGTACAAAGGAAAACTTGGGGGGAAAAAATAGCCAGAAAGACATCCAGTAAACACATGAATCTTTAATTTGAACCAAACACCACAAGGTACAAAGTTTCAGCTGTACAAAAATAAATTGACAAAAATGTATTTTTTGGCAGGTTGTAATAAGAGTTTTTTAAGGAACTACACATAAAGATGAAATCATTCTTTCATTAATTTATCATTAGCTACGGCTTAAACTTGCATCATCGCGAAAGCCAAATGCCAGCAGACAGTGGGCAAGGTCAGCACACTGTAGACCATGGGTGGGCAAACTTTTGGCTCACAGCCCAAAATGGGGTTCAAATAAGGCTGGCCACCCGGATCAGTGTTGGAATCAAAATGGGGTTCAAATAAGGCTGGCCATCCGGTTCAGTGTTGGATGGATGTAGACGGAATATTATAGATAAAATATACAAGAATAAACCTAAACTTTCAAAGAAAATTTGGCTAGTTTTAGGCCTGCTGCCATCTAGCGGCATTAATGGGGATTTACAGTTGGTTAGTTGTAATGCATGAAACAGAAGGATAAACCATCAGTCTTTACCATACCTCATACCAGTGTTTGGCGGGCAGAAATACAAAGCCCAGCGAGATGTAGTTTGTTCAGGTTTGGCATACACAGTACACCACATTGCATGGCAAATTGTAAGGACAGAAAAATGACCATGTTAACATCGTAGCTATGGTCAATTAGTCAGAGTAAAGTATATTTGTCGGATGGCATTTGCCACCTTGAGGCCCTACATTGATAGATGTCACTCATAAAGCTGGAAGAACATACTGTATATAGATAGATGAACTTTATTGATCTATCTTTCTATCTTTGTTCTTCCAGCTTTATATATAGATATATCTATCTATCTATGTTGCCTTTTCTTAGAGACATATCACACAAAGAACATCATCCCCACAGTGGGACCCATGGTATTGGCCTAATTATTACTTGAATTAATAGGTTCACTCCTGGCTCTCACAGCATTTTAGCAACACGTGCATCTACACTATATCGTAGCCCATGATTTCCAAAAATGTACTATGTCAACTAGTGTTATCAGCACAGGAACTGCTGAGGGATATTTAATTGAATTGTTTTTGTCATGTAATAATAATTGGCAGACACAATAATCTTGGTCTGTCCTTGCACAGAGTGAGGCCCAACAAAGGAGCTCAGCCTTGCAGTCGAGACACAAATAGACTTTTAACTGTAAACCTTAACTCTTAAATACAAAAGGCAAGAGAAAAAAAAGAATATTCATTAAACAACTCAGATCAAGGTGAGTGCAGAAACGAAATGAAGTGCATAACTGAAAAATAAAGCATTTGGATGATAGAGGCTTAACAATCAGCCTGGTCTGGGTGTATCTGAGGGATGCTCTGCAGGTGTCGTGGGTGGATGCACCTTCAGTTATAAAATGATCATCTGACTAAGACATTGAAATATGACAATTCTGATATGTTCATATGCTCAAAACAGACACAATCGGGTGAGCTTACCGTTTTCAGGTGATATGACATGTTTGTAGTCGAGCTGTGATATGCACACTGTTGCTAGCAAACTTTTCATGTGATGTTTTTCTACTTTTGTAAATTGCTACCACACTGCGTTTTTGACATGATGGAAGAGGACTCACTTTAAATGGGATGCTAAAAATTCAACAGTTATTCAGCAAACCCCAGGCCCTAAATTTTCCACGTTCTTCAATCTGTCTGTCTGTGGGTTGGGCTAATCCAAAATATTGAAAACAAATGGGCTGATCTCAAAACACCCGCGTTAGCACTTGACCAATCGGAATTGTGGTCAAGTCAGAACGTGTCGACCATTAAAACGACCAATCAAAAATATGGCTGAGTCAGAACATATCAAGCAACCATTAATGGACCAGTCCACTAGGAGTTTACAGTCCTAATTATGGCTTTTGAGGAAATAAATCTTATGGTGAAAAAATGTCCATGTTATGAAACTTAAGCGACCCTAAAAGTCGTCTCTTAACAAAAATTCTGCTAAAGTGTAAATTTTGTGGCTGACAGCAGTGACAAAACAATCAATCCCAGTCTCAAATTCAGACATTATTATAGACACAAACACAGTGGCAATAACAATACAGTCTTCATAGACACTGGGCTGTCATACGGTGACATTTCCCTCAATAAATTGGGATTGCAGTGCTTGCAACTAGAATCAATCACACACCGACCGGTAGAGTTACAAACACAGCACAGCATTTGGAGCCCTCTCTTATCTCCTGAGCCTTGTTATGCTTCTTCTGTGTCCTTGGGAATTTAAAGGTACCATCAGCTAAGTCTGCCAGCATGCCAGTGATAACTAGCAACACAATACATGGAGGTTTTACTGTAAAATCAACATATGAAACTTGATAAACAAACAACCGTAGAGAGAAGAAAAAAAAACCCCAACAAAACAAAACACAGAAATAAGTCAGTGGATCTTGCTGTTGATAGAGAAATGTAGAGATGTCTGTGTTTTGCACCATAAAACTTAGCTTTAAGTTTAAAAAATAAAGCAAAATTACTTACATTTTTTAACAGCTTTAGCCATTTAAAATATCAACTTCTTTCTTAGCTGCAAAATCACTTTAATAACTTATTACGTCTGCGTTTCTTTTTTTTTCTTACAAAATTTAATTGAGAATTTAATTAAGATTAACGCAGTTCTCAGTTCAGTTTCTACATTTCTGCTCCCCCTCTCCTCCATTCCTGCATTATAGATGTTGTCACTAAGAGAATGGGCGTGGTTGCACTAGGGAGCCAGAGTAGGGGTCAGTCTTGCTTTAATTGTAGACTGACTGTGAAGGAAATTAAATTTCATGAAGGAAATATCGTCCTGGGATTTGGGTAAACCCTAGGGTCACGTCCAGCCATTCAGAAAGCTGTCGACTCTGCAGCAGGCCGTTCAAAACCGTGTATGATTTAATGATGTTTGCGTTTGCACTTGAATGTTATAGAATAAGTCTGTGTGTCTGAGATTTATGAGAAAAAAGAAAAGAAAAATATTGTTTAAAATTTCAGGCATGTGACAGGTCTTTCAAATGCATAGGAAAAAAAATGTGTCAAGGTTCGGTCCATTGCTTGTCACATTGACTGACATGACCATGAGCCGATGCAATATTGCTGGAAAGCCTTCAGGAAATAGCAAGTCATGCTTAAAGAAAAAAGATTAAAAATAGTTTTATTGCTTGAGGGCATTAAGTTTTTTTTTTTTTTTTTTTTACAAGGTTTTTTTTATATACTGTAACCATGGAGGTTTTCATGCTTAAGAACATTGTTTGTTTGAAAGGCCAACTACAATTAACCAGATGAAAAAATAGGGCAAAAAAGAAAAAAGGTTTCTTAAAAATAGTCACTTATCACAGGATATTTCCGTGTATTAATCTGCAGCAATTATTTCCATATTACGTGGGATTTACCTGTTTTCATTTATGTCTGTTTCAGATCCCCACCATCCCCGGAAATGATGGGTTCTATGGTTGCGTGATTCTCGAGGGACTCCATGTTCCAGGAGAAGAATGACAATACGCTGAAACCATGAACACCTCATGTTCTCCATCAGACACTAGCGAGGTCCCTGACTTTTGCTAATTTTCATCTGCCTTCATCCTCCTGAAAGAAACACCACGATCAGATACTTCTTCCCCCGAAGCTTTTGGCTGCAGCTCACATTTCCTGGAAGGTGCACTGAAATCTGGATTTTATAGACACTATTCTATTTTCAGACCAGGATAGACCGAGTAGCTTTTGAAGAAGCGACTGTGTTAAAATTACCATACCCCTGCTATTCCTCAGTCCTAGTTCTTTCCCTCTGAGTCCCAGAGGCACCGACTGATGGAGAGACAGAGGAGAGAGTCAGGATAAGGACAAGAATTTGTACATCAGAGGAGAAAATAACTGCAGATTCATTGAAAAAGCCTCAAAAAGTGGCTCCTTTAAGAAATTAATCCAGCTAGGCTCATATCCCTGCTCATTTAATTACAAAAATATTGTTTTCATTTAAAATCTGTGAACCACAGTAAAGCTTGACTGTGCGTCTTCAATTCGACCCATAAGCTAGATAAAAAAGCACGATTATTAACAGTGAGAATGACAAGAGGGTTAAGAATCAAATGGCCCCTGTGGCCTGTGACCCTCCTAAGTCTGTTCACTACAGTCGCCGTGCTGGAATTCGGTGGGGCACCTGGACAGTGGGCAAGATACGGGCGCTGGGAAGCTGGTTCAGTGGGCGAGCTAAGCTTCAGTCTCAAGACCAACATTAGCAAAGCCTTAGTTCTCTATCTGGACGACGGTGGCAACTGTGACTTCCTGGAGCTGCTGATCGCTGGAGGGCGGCTGCAGCTGCGCTTTGCCATCCACTGTGCCGAGCCGGCCACTTTACACCTGGAGACGAGGGTGAACGACGACCGTTGGCACATGGTCTTGCTCACCCGCAACTTTCGCGAGACACTCTTGATGGTGGACGGAGAAACGAAAGTGGCCGAGGTCAAGTCCAAAAGGAAGGAGATGGCGGTGGTCAGTGACCTGTTTGTAGGGGGCATCCCACCAGATGTACGTCTCTCTGCGCTGACGTCCAGTACAGTGAAATATGAGCCACCGTTCCTGGGCTTGATTTCCAATCTCAAGGTGGGGGAGATGCCTCCCACCTTGCTAAACAGCCAGGGCATTCAGAGTGACCTGGAGTACCTGTGCACCAAGCAGAACCCATGCTTCAATGGAGGGTTTTGCTCTATTCAGAATGGAGAAGTTCACTGTGACTGCACCAACACCCGCTTCAAGGGGAAGTACTGCAAGGAAGGTAAGACATTCTTAAATCTTGTTATCAATGTTCTGATGCACTGCCAATTGCTGGAAACCTGTGTCTGTTTAGAAGATAAAGGTAAATCCTGTCTGTTGTAGCTACATGGTCACACATGACTTGAATCTGGATCTGAAACCTATGGCTCCTGAGCCACATTTGGCTCTTTGGGAGCAACAACAGACATGGAAGCGCTATACACGTTCACAAAAGTTTTTGGCTTGCTTGCTAACAGCAAATCGGCATGTTGTCACTTTGCCTTCTGAGATAAGAGCAGTGTGCAATTTCAAAGTAGAGTGAGCAATGCACACTGTATCTCAGTGTTGATATATTATATAATATATAATTTATTTAGTATTAAAAATACACAATCATTAACATCCTGGAAAAGTGTTTTCTTTTACTGAAATTCCTTTGGTTTTAAAATGAGCACATTGGCTCTTTTGACATTTCAGAGCTATCATTAAACCAACGAAAAGAAAAAAAAAAGCTGTTATTTACCTGTGAGATTTCTTGAGTATTGTTGCAACTCTTTTGAAAAATTAATTGGTTAGAGACTGGGCTTTTATGGTGGGAGTCAAGTGAAGAGCTAATTGAGTCCCACCAGAAGTCTAGTTGCTTTTTTTTTTTCTCCAACTTTTTTTAATGTCTCTATTCCGTAAAAATGATTATGCTGAATTAAAAGCGTGCTTTTTTCAGTATTGATTGCTTCATAAGGGTTCTTCCTATTTCTCTCGCACTATTTGGAATGTGAGTTGTTTTTTTTTTTTAAGAAAAATACTTAACATCAAAGGTGCCGAATACCTCAATTCTAGAAAAAAAAAACCTCACACTGCTCTTGGCTGGCTTTTTTTCCTCATTCTCCCAACCTCTTTTTTCTTCTTTTTCTTTTCGTGCCCATTTCCAAGTCTAGTCTCTGAAATACACCCGGCTCCTGCCTTCATTTGCTCAGGGGTTATGCTCCTGTGCTGTCAGCTCATGTCAAACTCTGTTCTGTTTTAAACTTCCAGCCATCTTCTTCACTGACACATCCCATTTCCATATCTATGGTTTTTCCCTGTCCTTCACAACCATCCATCTCTACGCGCCTCTTCATCTTCAGCATTTCTTTTACCCGTCTTTTAGCTTCAGTTCTCAAGGCTATCTAGGCTTTCCATCTCTTTTCACCTCCCTCCCTCTTTATATCGCCCCCAAGCCCACTCTCTTCCTAGACTTATCTTTTTTCTGTCAGCACTTCATACTGCTGCTTTGCCTTCTTTTGCATCTACCTGCATTTGCATGTTACATGTGAATTCTATTATTTCCTCTTCAGCCATTATGACGCACATTTGGTTTTTTTGTTGTTGTCAAGAGTTAATATTTATGGTTTATTGTTCTCATTTATTGAAATGATTAATTTTTATTTCAGAAACAAAAATAATGGCGTTATTATTATATAAAATATAATAATAACAATAATAACATATGATGACTGTCAAACACAAATTTTAATCTAAATAATCACAGCACACCATCAAGAGTGGGTGTCAAACATATGGCCCACAGGCCTAAACTGACCTATTTGATACATCTCAAAATAAAAAATTACACAAACACTTTATGTGCAGGAGATCTTTCTAAAATTATCTTTCATTAAATGTGAATCTATATTTAATGTACTTCTTTGCTTGAAAAAAAAGGTGAAAAACATAGACTTTTTATGAATTATGTTATGATTGTACTGGTCCGCCCTGCTTGACATCTGATTAGGTTGTGTGCTGCCACTGAACTAAAATGAGTTCGATGCCCCTGATCTAGAGTAACCATAATCATTATTTATCTTGAACTCAATCATCAGCAATGAGAGACAGCAGTGGCCCGACCAACGGGAGGGAAATTGAGAGGAAAATGACAGACAATTTCAGTAAAGTTAGTTGATCTGTGATCTTTTGTTTTACGAGACATTGTTTGGTTTAAGTGTTGTAAATTGGGTCATTATTGCTATTTACTTCTTCTGAGTAGTAAATAGCAATAATAAGTGGGTGTGGAGGGTGTTTTTTGTTTTGTTCTGCCTTGCACATACATCCCTTGTGATTTGGTGGTTTTTGGACATTTTACACTGTAAGTGTCTCAGCTCTAAGAGACGTGCTGTGGCCCTCGGTATTTTTGTGTCAACTTTGGATGATGTGAAGCACTCTCACTTTTTATAAATACAGCATTTTAGGTATAAGGCATTAAGCTGATTAAAATAGAAATGGAGTGTAAAGATTAACGTTAATGTAAGCAACCTGCACCTAAATCCCTAGACTTAATCTTATACTTCATACCGTTTTATGAAACCTTATTAAACTATCTTTAGAAATATGATTTCTACAGAAAGCTGTCCCTGGCCATACTTTTTGCAAACATGTACATGGAGCATGAATAGGGAGAGATTTTCACGTTTCACATTTTATAATAAATAATAAAGAGAAACTGACAGAAAAGCCAAGCTTATAATATTTTCTTTTTACTGATAATGCGGTTTCCCCTTAGATAAAGCGAGGTCTTATTTTGTGGATTGATCATGCAACTATTGCACATTTGTTTGAAAGTGTTTTGTTGCTGCAGTATTTTTTGGGTGTTTGTTTTGGTCTTTTATTCACAGAGATCATTAATTGTTGTCTCCTAAAGAAATTCCAGTTTAGTTCTTCAAGGACTAGTCCTCGAGCCTATGTCCCTACTTCACTGTTAAATACAGTATGTAAGTTAATTAGGTAAAAATGATTGAATAAAATGTCAAACAGATCTGTTTTATCATTAGAATTTGACCAAATGTTATATTTAATTTCACAACCGATAAAATAAAGGCTCTAGAAAACACATTAACCTGAACCATTTATTTTCTTGCCTATGTAGGAGTATCCTGCTCTATTCTTAGATTCGCTCGCCACATTGAGGCATTTAGAGGCAGGCCTTTTACTTCGCAGGGCTGTAATTAAAGCCAGTATTTACCTGTGAGGGCTGTTGTTTTCACAATTGATAGGGGCCCTAGTTGTATTCCCTGATGGCCTCCAAAATGGCAGCACAGGGCAAAGAAGCAATTAGCTCTCTGTGAAAATGTCTTCCTCAGATATTAATATTATTCATGCACTAAACAATCCGAGGCATTGTCTATGGTAATATTTCCATATACAACCTGCACTAGACTAGGCCTTTTAATTGCATTTATACGTGTAGTACAGTAACCATTTACTTCAAATGCATTAAAAAATTGTCATTTGTTATTGTTTGATTTATATTTTTAACTACTTTGTAGTTGTCTTGGCCGAAAATAATGACATATCTCATTATATCACAATGCCAGTAAATAGCAACAGCATTAAAGGCTGTTTTTACAAATGTCTGCTTAGACTCTTGTGTTATATTGCTAATAAAGTCTTTTAATTATAGATTCTAGGTTATAGTTATAATAATCTATATTATTTGTCTAATATATTATAAATGAGCAGATCAGTGGACAGTTGAGGTGGAGCAATTTGGAGATAAAGTTACAGAGGTGAGGTAGCGATGGTTTGAACATCTCTACCTCAGAGAGCAGAGATAGGGAAAATATTAGACAAAGGAAGTTAGCGATGGAGTTGCCAGGAAAGAGGAGAAGAGGGAGATTTTTGGATGTTGTATAAGAAGACATGGAGTTGGAGTAAAAGAAGAGGAGGGAGGTGATAGGGTGAGATGGAGGCAGATGATCCGCTGTGGAGCCCCCTGATGGGAACAGCAGAAAGAAGAAGAAGAAAAATCATATGGTTACTCTGAATAACCCCGTCAAACGTGTGCTTCCTCTCTGATGAAGGACCAAGCCATTTTGGCTTGCTTTGCATCACCTTGTATGTAGCCCAAAAGGCAAGATAAAACCAGTTCTCGATCGGCAGCTGTGATATATCTCATTAGTGTATTCCCCAGGTTTGTAGTGGCGTCTAAATAAAATCTTAACTTTAGCCAAATGGTAATATTTGTACAAGACATATGGCGGATAGGAAAACAATCATACTCTAGCCTTGTCTATGAAACACCTTTTGTATTACTTGTTGGAAATCATGATACCTTGCTTTATCACACAACACAGGTGCAGAAGTATATTTCAATGACTGTGTGTGTCGTCGGTCCTTTCCTACTCAAATAAACGTCTGACATTTATGAAAGGAAAAAAAGGTTAATGCAGCGGCAGCCCTTTTAACTGCACTGTTGGAAAACAGCTGCTTAGCTCATTACCGCTAACTGCTGTGCAAGTCACTTCCATCATCACTTTATTATAGAGTGTAACATGGCAGGAAATCTGAGGCGCTCCGTATTTAACTGGCCTAAAAGCAGGAAGTCCAAAAAAAAAAAAAAACTAAACAAACTTATTGTCTGTGGAGGAATCTCAATCTCAATCTCTCAGTCTTGCACCAACCACACATCTCTTTGCACTATTCGCCATAATTATTTATTGGTTTATAAGACGACTTAAATTACGACTTTGGTCCATTGAAGGCAGTAATACTACAGTACTTTGAATCTATATCTTCAAATCAATCTATTTATCTTGACATTGATTTGTTATCATGCAACCAAGTCAAGTCAATTCAAGCACTCACTCAATAACCACCACAGAGCAGAGTAACCACAAGAAAAAAAGGAATTAATTGTATTTTAAAAGTTTTTATTCACTTGTTACCAGAGTGTGCCCTCATTATTTTGTTGCCCTAGGTGAGATAATGCTTTGGCAATAATCCCCCTCTCTCCCACCATATTGTAATTATTTGTTTTACTCAGGCGATACAGCAACACCCCCTCCAGCAGATGGTGCCCTAGGCAACCGCCTATGTGTCTCCTTTGCCAGGGGCCGGCTAACCATGTGACGGAGCATTCTGTTAATTTCATTATTATTATTATTTTTTAAAAATCCAACCCAAAGCTTAGAAAAGTAAACGTCGACGCCCTAAAATGTGTCTCTTAGGATTGGGACTTTTTGGAGACATTAGGTAGGATAAGATGTTGAT